TTGGGATGACCTGTAGGGGTAGAGTGTTGCAACATTTCTAGTCCTGCTTGATTTCTCAGTAGGTTGTAATATCACTAATCATGGACCCCTCAGGTACTGGGAATGAGAGTTTCTCCTTTTTCCTTCATGATCAGTTGTAGCTGTTATTGGTGGGGGAGACAGATGGAGCCCAAAGCCCTGCTTTGTGGTCACAAGGTGACAAGGTGACCTCACCTGGTGAGGTCATTCATAATTTAGTCACCTACCTTTCTGATTACTATAATATATGGGACTGCACTAAAAGTCTACTGAGAAGCTACAGATGGTTTAGAATGCAATGGCATGACTCATTGCTGATCTTTTTTAGTTTACTCATGTAATAACCATAATTTGTAAGTTGTACTTGTTGCCATTTGGCTTTTGGGTACCATTTAAGTTGCTGATGATGCACATAAAGATCTTTATGGTTTAGAATCTGGATATCTCTGGTTCTTTCTTTCTCTGGCTATTTCTGCCCATCCAGTAAGACAGCTCAACCCTTAGTCCCATCAGTAAGGCAATGTCATCTATGTCTGTTTCTGGCCTCTGAAACATGCATCCACCATATGTTCCTACAGACCCAACCTGGCTGTGCTTTTGTAAAGCCTTGAAATCCTCCCTGAAGTAGTTTTATGGAGCTTTGCAATAGGTTTTACTGGTTCCCTAATTAGGACTTTTTGATACTATTGAGAGGGCTTTTTTTTCCAGGTTCTTGCTTTATTTTAATTGCTATAAGCTGCCTATGATTGCAAATTGTGATTAAGGGAGTCTCTCTAAACTTGATGTTTAAACAAATAGCATGTCATGTGTCTGATTAACGAAACACTTAAAAGGACTTTCAGGCATATTTTCTCCTAAAAGCATTTATTAAGGTTACAGAGACGTCAGTACAGCATGGTGGAAATGCTTAGGTCTGGCTTCTCTTCCGTTACGCACAGGGCTTTTTTTCAGCCGGAACGTGCCGGAACCGCGTTCCGGCACCTTTTTCCGGGCCGGCCGCACCGGAAATAGCCCCTCCCAAATTTTACTTGCATTCCTGTTCTCTAAAGGGGCGGTCCTAGGGTTTGATGAGGGCGTGGCCAGGTTTGAGTTCCGCCACCTTTTCTCCGAGAAAAAAAGCCCTGGTTACGCATATACATTCTAAGCATTCCCCCCCCCTTATTTTGGGGTCATGGTTCACATCTTCCAATCAACTTGGAAGATGTGATTTACTTCCGGTTTCTTTTTCCCGGGCTATCCTTATTCTCCTCCCTTTTCCCCTGTTGCCTGGTTTAACTATAAAAATACCAGACAGTTCTGCATATTGTCAAAGCAAGAATATACAGTATTTGCAGCGTTGACATAGCAAATATATGAATAAAGCTCCTTAAATCTATGAACCTTTGTTAAATATAATGACTGATTTCACATAGGTTTAAACAGATCTGTCAAAGACACAACTGCTAACATTCTCATAACATTCTAATCTTAATTAGTTTATCTGTAGCTTAGTATACCGTGCAAATCCAGCTTATTTAAATAGGTTACATATCTGATACTAGAACTACAAACTAGAAATTGCTTTAATACAGTAGCCAAATCAGCATGCTGGATGAATCCACCTCCTGAGTCAAAGCCTGTTCGATTATATAAAAATAAAATCATGGGGAGGCACATATCCAAAAATGACAGAGGCCATGTATCATTGTAGTCAATTTAAAACAGTTGTGACTATCATTTTTGTCTCTCCTCATTAAATTTATTAATGCACTTTATATTAAATTGACACCAGCATGCTAATTTCATCCTCTCTGTCAACCCACTTGTCATGTTTCATGAGTTAAAGATATAAATATTGCAGTGCTCCCNAGGCACATATCCAAAAATGACAGAGGCCATGTATCATTGTAGTCAATTTAAAACAGTTGTGACTATCATTTTTGTCTCTCCTCATTAAATTTATTAATGCACTTTATATTAAATTGACACCAGCATGCTAATTTCATCCTCTCTGTC